AAGGCTCCGGATTCTCTACCCGGGCCCAGAACAACCTGGTGCTTTCAGGGCTGGCGCTCCTAGGACGCGTTCCTCTTCCCGGGCCAAACCGCGGCCTCGCTGGGCTCGGGGCAGGGCCGGGGAAGGCGGAAATGAGCTGTGACTAGCGCCCCGTGGAGCGACAGGAATACAAATCCACGTCCGCCCCCCAGAAGCTCCCAAGCCAAAGGCCCCAGTCAGACCTGTCCCTAAGAGTGGGAATCGGCCCATTCTGATGGCTCCTTTCCATCCTGCTGCCAGCCCCACCCCCTGACTCCTGTCCCCTGGCAGCTACTCCAGCGCCAGCTGGACCCTCCCACCGCACCGCCAGGCAAGGGACCAGGGGAGGGGCTGGCCTCTGCCTTGCTTGGCACGTGGGTGTGAGGCTCGCGCCAAGCGCCGGCTTTGGCAGCCAGGCTCATGGAGGCGAAAGGGGTGTCGTTCTGCTCGTCGTCGGGCCCCCTGCGTGAAGCGACTCTGACAGGCGTGTTTGCAGCATCGAAAATCCTCCCGGGCTCATGCCGGCTTTGCAAGGATCTACGGGTCTCTTCCCCCATTGATGCCAGAGACTCGGTGACCTCAGAGTGGGACTGCCCGGCAGGCAGGTGCTTACATCCCTACATAAGAACGGCCAGACTGGGCCAGAACAAAGGTCCATCCGGCCCAGTGTCCTGTCGGCCGACAGTGGCCAATGCCAGGTGCCCCTGAGGGAGGGAACACAACAGGGAATCCTCACGTGATCCCTCCCCTGTCAACCTGTTACATCCCCCCCCTTCAGTAATAATACTATTGTCATTAATACCAAGCTCTAAGCTAGCACTTTCCATCATGCGTTACCAGAGGCCAGTGTCGTTGTTCTTCTTTTAGAGATGGGGAAACCGAGGCACACGATGGCAAAAAGACTTGCCCAAGGCCCCCTGGCTGGTCAGCCCTAGAGATGGGACTAGAACCTAGGTCTCCTGGGCCCATGCACTGGTCTCTAGACCAGTGGTCCCCAGCCTTTTTTGAGCACGAGATCACGTTTTGAATTTAAGTGCAATCCAGGATCTACCTGACACCCAAACACCTTGATCCCGCCTCCTTCCTGCCCTTTCTCTGAGGCCCCGCCCCTGCTCACTCTGTCCTCCCTCCCTCCCCCATCCTCGCTCACTTTTATCAGGCTGGGGGCAGGGGTTTGGGACTGGGGCCAGGGTTCAGAATGTTGTCTCCAGCTGGGCACCACTTACCACAGGTGGCTTCTGGGTGGTGGTGCAGGGGGCTAAGGCAGGCTCACCCCTACCCTGGCCATGCACCACTCCCAAAAGCAGCCAGCAAACTCTCTCCATCCCTGCCCCCCTCTGCTCTGTGGAGAGGGGGTACAAAGTGGTGGGACGGGCTCCCTGGCATCAGCACCCCCCTTCCTCTTCTTCCTGTGCCCCGCATAGCAAGCAGGAGGCTCCCAGGAATGAGGGGTGCCTCCAAGGCAGAGGGCAGGAGCAGCATGGCAGTGCTGAGAGGGGCAGATGAAGTGCTGGCACTTGACAGCCTCCTGGCCAAACCTCTCAGGATCACCGGTCAGAGGTTCCAAGATCTCCCGGTAGATCCCGATCGACTGGTTGGTGACCACTGCTCTAGACCACGCTGGCTCCTGAATACAAATGGGAGTTTGCTGGCTGCGTGTTGCTCTGACAACACACACTGTAAAGCTCCATGTGGCGCTGACGTCCGTGAATCTTTTTATATGCCACGGATTTTTGCCTGATACATCTGATGCTCCTGGTGCCCAGACGAGTGATGGACAGGTTGGAAATACCTCTGGTAGACAAATGGCTAGAGGGGAGATGTAACCAGGAAAGGCGGCTGCCTTTTGTTTTCAGTGCACCCTGCCTTTCAACTTCCCGGAGCTCTCCTGGCGTGCGGAGACATTTACTGCAGCCTGTTCCAAAGTAAAATGCGCACACTCCGCTCTCTCCATTGGAGGTTGGGGGTTTTGGTGGTGCTGGTTGTTTTTCTTAGGCTAAATTAAAAGTCTCACTAGTAGCAATTTTAGCCATTCCAAAATCAGGCTTCAAAATTCAGGAGATGGGGTTCAAAAGCAAGAGTTTAAAAAAATAAACATTAGGGTTCTTTTTTTCTTTACCGCCCATTGGCTTTTAGGGGTCACTTGCCTTCGTTTCAAGTGTTTCTCTGCAGCCAGTAGGGCTAGAAGCTCGTTTAAAAAAATGAAATGAAAGCCACAATTCTAGCATCATCCCATGACTCCAGGAGTTGGTGCTTTAAGAAAACCACCAAATATTGGGTGATTTGGGATAGAATCGCAAGCATGGACAATATGCAGCCATCTTGGAATCAAAGGTGGGGTTTTTCCAAAGTTGTCAGCCTGGCTCTAACTTGGCACTCCTGGAGGGCAGTAGGAGCGGGGCTGAGGCGCTGCACTTTGAAAGATCCCTCCTGGAGGGCGCATGGCATGTCCTGCTGATTAGCAGCGCAGGACAGATGGACGATGTAAGGAAGAGGTTGTGCTCTGGGATGGGTTCCCTAGGAGAGGGGGTGGAATCTTCATCCCTAGGGGATTTTAAGTCCTGGCTTGATGATAGAGATGCAAGTGACCAGTCGACTACCTGATGAGCAACTGCTTCTTGGATAGTTGAGTAGGAACTTGGCTAGTCACTTCCCTGCCCTCTGCTTGCTGCCTCTATCACACCTGTAGGAAGAGGTTGTGCTCTGGGATGGGTTCCCTAGGAGAGGGGGTGGAATCTTCATCCCTAGGGGATTTTAAGTCCTGGCTTGATGATAGAGATGCAAGTGACCAGTCGACTACCTGATGAGCAACTGCTTCTTGGATAGTTGAGTAGGAACTTGGCTAGTCACTTCCCTGCCCTCTGCTTGCTGCCTCTATCACACCTGTGGTTC